GGCTCTGTCTCAAAAAAAAAAAAAAAAAAAAAAAGAACTAAGTTCTGGATGAATCAAAAACCACTTTTATTTTTCCTAGATAATTTTCTTAAAATCACTAGAATGCTAACTTTATTTATACATGCAGTTTCTAGTTTCTTTAACCCAGCTGGGGTCCTACCAGAGAAATAGAGTCTGGAAAAGAGAAGAATTTTGGAAGGATGTCTGGCTTATAGTAGGGAAGCTGAGATGGGGAAGGGACCAAAACCATGACATGATTTGAACCGGTTTCTGAGTTGGGAGGACATGAATACTTAGCTACCTCAGCAGGAATTCTTTCCAGGTCCTCTTTAAAGCTGAGGTTTGGGGGATAATGGATCTTAGAATAAAAAGGACAAGTAGGATACAGCCTTGACCCTCTCAGTGAGGAGATCCCAATTCAGCAATAAGTCTCACTCTTCTCCCGTATAGCTCAGGCCAAGGAGGGTGAAGGCCTCTTGGGTTCAAGACCTGATATGCCCCCAGAGCTAATAAGTGAATAAAATTTGCTTTATCTTACAGCTTATCACCTCAGCTGAGTTTTAGGTACCCAAAAAGGACCTGTCTAGATTTCTTCCCAAAGACATGAGGAGCTAGGGGCAGGCCTGGAAAGACCTGAAATCTCTGGTTCTCCTAGGTGGGAGCCTGCCTAAGGCTTGGGCAGGATAGAATGAGGAAGCCTTGGGGAGTGGCTAGGTCTTGAAAGCGAGGCACTTTTCCTCAGGCTGTTTCACTTCTGACTTGTTGCAAGACAAGTAGATAACACCTCTCCCCCACACAAACCCCGCTCAGGCTCCACCCATGTCCTGGCTCAGCTCCCAGGCCTAGTCTTCACTCCAAGCTTTCTCAATTAAAGACGATTTATAAAACTGAAATATTGTCTGTCATCTGTGGGTGGCGGGCTTCAGCTGTTGCTCGGGGCGGGATCAAGTCTGGGGGCGGGGCGGGTGGGCTGGCAGCTGCCCCCCAACAACAGGTGCACATTCCTGGGCGCCTGGTCACTTCCCCTGCGCTGGCGGTCCCGGTAGCTTCCTGAGTGAACTCACTAAGCGACACAGCCAGGCTATGACCCCATGGGCGCTGCTGCTGCTATTGCTGGGGGCTCTAGGAACACTGCTAGCCCCAGGTAAGTGGGGGCTCTAGGAACACTGCTGGCCCCAGGGACAGTGATGGGGGCATCAGTCGTGGCTGGGCACCAGGGGTTCATTTAGTGTTCCCTTCCCCCAGGTGTACGCGGCTCAGAGACCGAGGGCCGACTCCGCAAGAAACTTTTCTCGGGGTATGATAGCTCAGTGAGGCCGGCGCGGGAGGTGGGAGACCTCGTCGGGGTCAGCATTGGTCTCAGCCTGGCGCAACTCATCAGCCTGGTGAGGGGGGTTGACATCAGAGGCTGGGGGAATGGCTTTAGGCAAGGCGGGACAAATGGATAGACTGAGTGAAGTCAAGCTGAGAGACTGACGAACCTTTAGCGAAGGGTCAAATCAGACCAATAGACAAACTGTGGGCGTGGCTGTTGGACAGGCCTGGAGTACAAGTTGAGTAAGGTGACAAACTGGCTTGCGGGCGGATCTAGAAGGGAGGATGGACTGGCACTGCATTTGGAGGTGTGGCCCTTGAGGTGGCCACATAAGGTTATGGCAGTATAGAACAGAACTCGGTGCTCAACTAGATCTCTAAACAGCAGTGGGTGAAGAGGCTGGGCTAGGTGGCTTATAAACTGTGGGCGGGGTCAGAGCGGAGCTAGGGGACTGGGCGGAGACCGAGCTGGTAGATAGGCTGAGAGTGTAGACTGCAGGAAGAGGTGTTTCTGAGATAAAGGCGGGGTTTAACCTAACGTAGCTTCTGGGAGGTAGGACTTGGACCCAAGAAGGTGGGAAGCAGAAAAAGGGGGCAAGTTTCCTGGGAGATGTTGCGGCCCCTCGGTCCTCTCTACCTTACTTCACCTCTATTCCTAAATTTTTTCCATCTAGAACGAGAAGGATGAAGAGATGAGCACAAAGGTGTACTTAGACCTGGTATGGAAGTTCCGAGGAGTCCCATTGCCTTTACAATTTCCTCTAATATCTGGCCCAGTAAGATTATGTTTTACACCACAACCTCAGAAAACACATTTATAACTGAAACAGAAGCTTGAGAAAACAATACCTATCCTCACTATGAAAGTTGTTCCCGTGCATTTTTCTAATTTTTTTCAGCAGTGGTTTGGGGCCACTAATTTGATTCCCTATCCACTAACGGGTCACAAATTGTAGTTTGAAAATCACTGATTTAGAGGCCAGCTAGTGCAACGCCCTCATTTTTTCAGAGTGAAAAAAAAAATTGGGGCCCGGTGCGAGGTAAGGGAAATCCGCCTCTACAGATCACAGCCAGTAAAGGGAGGCAGCTAGAACCCCGCCCCCTTGCCTGCTCTGCTCTGCTCTCTCGCACTCCCTTCCTAAGCTTCCTTCGGACATCCCAAGCCCTCTCTTGGCCTACAGCCCTAGACAGGCCCTCAGCCTCTGCTTCTCTAGGAGTGGACTGACTACAGACTGAGTTGGGACCCTGCAGAGTATGACGGCATCGATTTGCTCCGCATTACTGCAGAATCTGTGTGGCTACCTGACGTGGTACTGCTGAACAAGTATGATTTTCCGAAGTCTGGGAGGTGGGACAGTGGCTCCGGAGGCCAGGTTCGGATCCCAGATAAGAGAATCCCTTCCCTGCAGCAATGATGGAAATTTTGACGTCGCTCTATACATTAACGTCGTGGTGTCCTCAGATGGCTCCGTTCGCTGGCAACCCCCGGGCATCTATCGCAGCAGCTGCAGCATCCAGGTTTCCTGGCTCCCTATTGGAAGTTGAAGAAACTCTTAGAAACTCTCCCTCTCATTAGACAGCATGACTCCCCAGTGACTCCCATCCTCCTTTCATTATACCCCACAACTCTCATCTCTCCTTTGCCCTCCCGATTTTGTTGTGTCATCTTCTCTTTGCCCCCCCCCCAGTCTTCCCCAGTAACACCCCTCCATTTCCCAATAACATGTCTTAATAACCTTCCAATTTCTCTGTGACCTCACCTCCCTGTAATCCCTATCTCTCTTGTGCTCCATATCTTGTGACTTCTTCCAAGTCACCTACAAGCCCTGGCCAGTTTTCTGGCAACTTTAGTGACTTCCCTCCACCCCCTCTGTCCAGGTCACCTACTTCCCCTTCGACTGGCAGAACTGCACTATGGTGTTCAGTTCCTACAGCTATGACAGCTCTGAGGTCAGCCTGCAGACAGGCCTGGGTCCTGATGGGAAAGAGCAACAGGAAATTCACATTCACGAAGGGACATTCATTGGTGAGTAGGCTTTGTTCCCATATTTATGGACTCTATGACTTTCAGTTTCCAACAGGCTAATAAATATGCTCTGTTAGCAATGCCCAATACAACCCTATGGGGTCAGCAAGATGGTTATGACTATCTACATTTTATAAATATGGAAACTGAGACTTGTCCAAGTTTATTAAATACAGGCTGCCAGCCCAGTGTCCACAGCTAGTGCATCAGCTCCCTCAGGTCTAGGATGTGGCAGAGAAAGCCACACCTGGCACTAACTAGGATAGCTTCTACATCTGTGTCCTCTTCTGCTCTCCCTTGCCCCAGAGAATGGCCAATGGGAAATTATCCACAAGCCCTCTCGGCTTATCCAACCTCCAGGGGATCCTAGGGGAGGAAGAGAAGGACAACGTCAGGAAGTCACCTTCTACCTCATCATTCGCCGGAAGCCTCTCTTCTACCTGGTCAATGTCATTGCCCCATGCATCCTCATCACTCTCCTGGCCATCTTTGTCTTTTACCTGCCACCAGATGCAGGTAAAGTGGGAAAAGGCCCCTGCCTGTCACCCTGGGTAGAGTGCTGGGGCATCATAGCTCATAGCAACCTCCAACTCCTGGGCTCAAGTGAGTTTCCTGCCTCCACCTCCCAAGTAGCTGGGGCCACAGGCGCCCACCATAACGCCCGGCTATTTTTTGGTTGCAACCGTCATTGTTGTTTGGCAGGCCCGGGCTGGATTTGAACTGGCCTGCTCAGGTGTATGTGGCTGGTGCCTTAGCCCTTTGAGCCACAGGTGCTGAGCCAAGGCCCCTGTCCTTTTTATCATTAGTTCAGTTTCTTCCTCTTTATTCTTAACCCAAGCAGGGTTTTCCTACTAACTAAAGCCCATCATGGGCTCGGTGCCTGCAGCACAGTGGTTATGGCGCCAGCCACATGCACCGAGGTTGGTGGGTTCAAGCCTGGCCAGGGCCCACTAAAACAACAATGACAACTGAAACCAAAAAATAGCTGGGCATTGTGGCAGGCCCCTGTGGTCCCAGCTATTTGGGAGGCTGAGGCAAGAGAATTGCTTAAGCCCAAGAGTTTGAGGTTGCTAAGAGCTGTGACACCACAGCACTCTACCAAGTGTGACATAATGAGAGTCTGTCTCCAAAAAAAAAAAAAAAGCCTATCATGGTTTGCACTTTAATAATCCCACACAAGTTTTTCCTCCAACCAAGTGGACTCAACCTCAGGCTCTGCCTCTCCTCTTTGGCTGCTGGCTTCTCTCTACCCAGTGGAATCTGAACTTTTCCTCTTTGGAGTCTTACCCTTTCGTCCGTGGAATTTTTACTCATCTGAACAATGAACTTCCAAGCTTAGACAACTTTCCCCTTCCTTTCCCCCATTCCTAGCATCCTCCAACTACTTTCCAAATGGCCACTAGTCCTCTAAGCTTCTACTTCCCTGGGAAATTCACTAACAGCCAAAATTTCTCTAGGTGGCAGTATGATGTATTAATAGGGTTAATATGTATGTATCTCAGTTTCCTCATCTGGAATTAGGATCATTCATTGTCCCTGCTGCCTAATACTATTTTTTTTTTTTTT